TTGAGACCATCATTTCCTCCTGGAGAGCTAGAAAAAGCCAACAGCCGCAAAGGAACTTGAGCGACAGCAATGAAACAATAATATGACAACCCCAATATTACTAAGGCAGTGTCTTGCACAAAAGCTGCAACCCCAAAGATGAATCGAAGGGGAAGCTTGAATGCTGGTCCTGGGTTTGCCAAGAGAAGGATAGATATCCGGCCAATATTATATGGAATCCAGATAACAATCCCTATGGTAATACCAAGAAGGAAAGCACTAAATATGGCGTTCTGAACAAGACCAAACAATGGCCCTCGCATACCCACAAGCTCCATAATACCATCAAAATCTTCAGCGTCTTCAATATCTGCTTCAGGATCTAAGGCTGGGGCAATAGCAGCCTCGCGTACCTCAACATCTTCATCACCCTCATCCCCGTGATCAAAAGCATCGCGACGAGCTTGTGCAACTGGTACAAACGGGGCTTCATCAGCCATATCCTCAATTATGTGCTCATCATTCACACCGAGATCTTCCTCTGGTGCAACATCATCAGGTCTGCCCCATAACCAATCCGCGACATTGCCAACGAAGCCTTCTGGTTCTACTGGTCGACGGGGCGGGAGAACCGGTTCGCGTTGTGGTGGGAGAGGCGTATCCGGGGCGAAAGGGTTTTGCTCTGTCTCGTCAAAAGCGTTTTCATTATCGTCTTCATCTTCTGAAATAGGATTGTTTTCAAAGACTTTTTCCCAGTTGCTTGCGGTACGAGTTACGCCATCCTCACCAACTATCTCGAGGGGCTCATCATCACTCTCGTGGCTATGAACATTCCCAGCGTACAAAGAGGATTGCGGATTGTCTTGGCCAGCATTTGAATCCGAGGTCACTCCGTGGTGTAAATCTAAATCTTCAGCTGCCTTTCGAGCCATAGAAACCATTTTCTCTTCATTCGGGTTTTTGTTTTCCTGAAACAGGCTGAGATTTGGGTCGGATAAGTCCTCATCTGGAAGATCAGAGAAGGCCCAATTATTTCGACCTAACGGCGATTTGTCTCGATAATGAGGGATATCCGAGGTAGCCCTGGGTCGGTTTTGAGACAACGGAAGGGCGTGTGGTTCCCGATTGGGAAATGCAGGAGTTCGTCCACCTGAAATCGTAGGGTATTTGTTATCCGTTTCTTGCAAATTATCTGAGCCGGAACTCTTGTTCTTGAGGCATGTTTCCGATGCCTTGTACGATTCGTCCTTTATATCGCCATTGGTTGCCACCCGCTTAGAGCTCTGGCTAGATTCTCCATTAAACGTAGAATTGTTTTTGCTTTCGAGTTGGAGAGATTCTGGTACTTCCTCCCAACTGTCCGAGCTAGTACTGCTTTGGCCCGCCCCGTTAGCCTTGCTGGTGTCGGCTGAATGGTTCGTGTTGGCGGGTTGAGGTAAATCTGATGACATTGAAATCCTTCTATCATTGGCCAATTCGTCATAATGATAATTTCCATTATGCAGCCGCAAATTCATAGCTTCAACCAAATCTTGCATTCGATCCCCGAGATTTTCTTGTTCTATTATGTTCAATACTTCTCTAGGATCTCCGCCGGCTCGTCGCCATATAACCGAAAACTGATCAGCGAGCTGAACTTCTGGATCATCCGGATCACGCTGCTGATCGAGGGTCTCCGGTGCAGTTACAAAATCTTCAAGTTCGGCTGCTGTGATCAGTTCATGATTGAAGTCGAATACAGGGCGAGGGCGAATTGGATTGCGTATCTCCACAGGCATAGGCACATCCAGCTGAGCACCAGGTCCAGCATTGAGTCCTCGAGCTTCCGCCAGATGCTCTCTCTGAATAATTCGAATTCGTTCCTCCATCCGTTCTTGAAGCTCATCAACGTCAAGTGGCAAGTCTTCTTGAGGAGGTGCACCAGCAGCAGCTACATCCGCATTAAATGCTGCACCCATATTGATGACAGGTTGTTGTTGAACCACCCATTCCCGTATCAAGAATACAAGAATGAATGTAATCACAATTACCAGAATTATGATGAAGCCTTCGGCAGTGTCAAGAATGGCTTGATTCAGCCACGGAAACCTAGTTCCATTACTTAAAAAAGAGACATCGCTGAGAAGCGAATGTCCCTGACTTCCGGATAGGGGTACTGTAGTGATACTTCCTGTATTGTTCGTCGAGCCATCTGAAGGTATCGCGTGTGTTAGTCCAAATCCGTAATAGATTGACCTGAAGAAACCAGATGTGAGAGGGTCCGAACCACTAATGTTGAGTGTTTGAGAAACAGGCATCATGATACCCATAAGCTTCTCCATAAAGCCCCCAATTCCAACAGGCGAAGTTTGACTAGCATTGAGGGGCGTAATCCTTTCTGAAGCCATCCCACCCCAAGTTGAGTTTACAGCACCACGCGAGATTCCCAAACCTTCTGAAACGGTGTCATTCTGTCTGGAATTGGTTATCAGAATTTGGGCTGGTGTGCCTCCATCACTGAACCAGAATAAAAATCGCCATACTTGTCGAATGAAGAATGGTAAACTGATTAGCCATACCAGAATCACCAGGCCAAACCTTAAATATGTAGCCATATTCTTGATGACATGAAAGGCAAAGTGTTTTAGGAAAACCCGAGTCGGTAATGACTGTGGCATATTGGGCGAGTATAGCTTCGTGAATCGAAAGGGCGTTTTGCAGAGTTCACAGTGTTTCTTCTGCGAATGCGATAGCCACTCCATTAAGCAATCCTGATGAACGAACTTGATACTTCCGCTACATTTGCAAGGATAGAACAGAGGTTCTGTCTCCGTAGCCTCCGCTCTACATATCCTGCAAGTATCTGGATCCCCATTGTCATCCACCCCATTTGTTGTATTGGTCGCATATTGAGGATCGTTCATGACATCTGGCGCGGGATTGTCGTTATGCGTGGAGATGACCCCCAGTGTAGACATATTGAAAGGGACGTGGGTAGGGTCGGAAGAACGGGAGGACGAGAAAAGAAGAGATTTATCGAAAGGGCAGATAGAGTACAAAGCTCGAAGGATGAAATGCGCGGAAAGCAGTCAATGCCTTTAAGCTAGAAAATTCGAAATAGCATGCCGTTATGTAGTTGTCGGTGGGTGGTCGGTTTGATGGTAATAATTGTCGGAGTTAATGCACACCTTAATTGAAGGAGTGAGGGAGTAGTGAAAGGGGATATCAAAGAGAAGAGGGGCGGGGAAGTGAATAAACTAGATGGTATTACAAATGGCTCTATTTATTATGATGACGTTGAAAAAAAAGAGATCGATATAAAATAGTGGGTGTGAAAATCGTCAAGTACGTATTGAGTACCTGGGTACTTTCTTGAGTATCGTGGATTATGAATGAAGGTTCCCGGGTTCACACAAATAATAAATTGGGTGCGGAAGTGATTAATCAGCAAGTGCCATTTGAAAGACACCAGCTAGGAGAGGACTAGATACAGCCCAGCCCTATACTGTCTAGATCGTATCTACACAACCATATAATAATTGTTTCGAAGAAGGGGGTTAATCTATGATTTGATTTATGTTTTATGATTTAGTATTTTTTTATCGTGGAATACCATATATTTACCAGTAGAATGCTATGTATACCTACCTAGGCAAGTACTCGTACCTAGTCAACTATTGTTCCTGGATTAACGACCTTAACACGAGATCGGAATATAAAATGTGATGAACGTTGGTTGAATGAATGACGCTCCGCTGGCCCTCTGGGAGCCACTACCGTGGAGGCAGACTATTTGGGAGTCAAGTGTCTAGGTATCTACGATCTAGATTTACCGAGTAGATGTCATGTTGCAAGCACAGTGCGTTATCTCAATTGTTTGCCCTTTTTGACCTACAACGAACTCGATACGATGAATAGGGAAATGTGTCACGTGTAAACTTTCGAGATTGAGTGGATGTTCCCACCCATCGAACTCGGGCTTGACAGATACTTTTGGTGATCTATCTATCTATTTTATTGCGGGGTTGGTCTTTAATCAAAATTTACTCGCGACCTATCGTAGGTATTCATACACCTTCCGCTGCACTGCTTCCATGTATGTTTGATCAGTGACATGACTTTAAAGTAGCTAACTCTCATCAATCTTTCATCTTATCAGGTCTTTTTTTTTCGACCCATCATCGACAGCAGCAGCTCACTCTCTTGGTTTCTTGGATTTGTTAGCGAGTCTCGACTCTTTGAGCACTGGGACTGGCCGTGGTAGTTTCTTGATCAGCTAGTTAGCCGTGCTTACTATATGACGACAGAATACCAAGGAGGGAGGCAGTACGAAATAGTTCATTGTTTTCAACCTCCTCCTCCTCCTCTGAACCTGGCCAACTAATCAGAATTGAGCATCTCTTCTTAGCCTCGGACACTAGACTTCGGTACGGGCTTAGGGTCCAAAAGCTTCACTTGGAACTAGACGTCCAAATTGACATTTGATAGCTGACAGCTTTAATATACCTGCCACCTGCCACCTGCCACCTACTAGGTATACAGGACAGGTACCTGGCAGCAACCTGTAGTGAGAATCGAATGAAATGAAAAATATCAGAAAATATAAGCAATCATTCCAACTTATACCAACAGAACAACGAACAATTCACAAATGCAGTGAAATTTGGCTCATTTCTATTATTCATACAAATACGCCATAAAAAATCCATACATTTGACCCAGGCTCTTTAAGATTCTCTTCTATCTTCCTTTTTTCACCACCTTTGTTTTGTCGTCATCAATTAGACACTGATAGCGATAGAAATAAATCTTGGCATACATCAGATCTTGGAAATCCTACTTTGTGCTTTTTTTTGTTCCAGTTAAATCTAGAGGGAAATCACCACCACCACCATTTCTTTTTCGGCAAGCTCTCCCACTTTACTGCTTGTATCATTGTTACATTTCTACCACCTTGAGAAAACCCTTCACCAATCACACAAAATATATCACATTGATAGTAACGAAGGGCTATCGACAAAATCTACATGCTGTAGAAGAAGATGGCAGCAGGTAGTAATGGAAAGGTGGTGGAAGCCAAACAAAATGGTTTAAATGGCCACACCAAAGTGGTTCCCACTTCGCCGGCAGCAAAGAGCGAAAAGAAGATCAAGAAGAAGAGATCCGGATTCTTCAGTTTCGCTACTATTACACGGTATGCTATACGTCTATGTATTCCATACCATCGTCAATTACTAATGAAGCTTCAGGATCTTAACATGGTACTCGATAATTACAATCTTCCTACGATGTCCTGCGAACCTCGACCTCGTTACAGATACCTCTCCTCAAATCTGCAAACCTTATTTTCAACTACGATCTGTATTGGTGCCTCATTTCGAACCATATTACAACTCATATGCCGCACCATATGTGAATGCTGCAAAGCCGTATTATCATTCCGTTGACCAGAAAATCATTGCACCTGTAACTGCTCTTGGTATGAAATATGGTGCACCAAGAGTGGCACAGGTACAAGCATATGGTAAAGCTCAATGGGACAAGACCTTGCAACCAGAGGTATCCAAATATCAGAGTCTTGCGAAGGCCAAATACGATCAAACATTGGCTCCACATTGGAATAAAGTCACTGCTGCGAGTGGACCATACTTTGATCTGGCCAAAACAAATGCTGCGCAAACATATCATGAACACATCGTTCCAACTTTCAATATTGTACAGCCATATGCCATTCAGGGCTATGGGTACGCAAATGATTTCGTTGTAGGCACTGGAGTTCCATATACAAAGTGGGCCTTGACTTCGACCGGGGTATTTTTGGATAGAAAGGTCTGGCCCAAATTGAGGATCTTGTATGGCGAGAACGTAGAACCACAGTTAGTACGAATTGGTGAGAGACTAGGTAGATATAGGGATGGCAAAAAATTGCAGGCTGTGGTTGACAGCATTGATTCGTGAGTCAGTTAGATGTATCTATTAGATTCTAGCTTACGCAGATTCAGTTCCTCGTCTGCTTCCTTTGCCTCTTCCACATTTTCATCAATATCCTCGTCCGTCTCATCCGCGCACGCTACAAGTGCATCCTCGACCTCCATTTCTTTATCCGTTTCTACTTCCTCTACCAAATCACCAGAAAAGACCCCTTTAAGTGAAGATGAGATCAGAGAAAATGCTCGAAACGTCGTTGCAAAAGATTTAACAACCTGGCAAGAAAAGTTCTCCAAGGCGGCAGATGAAGGTTCTGACGAAATCGATGAGCGAGTGATAGAGATCACTGAGAGATTGGTTCAAAATCAAGCCAAGAAAGTAGGATCTGCACTACTCATCGAATTGGAGGAGGCTATTAAGTCGAATCTCGAGTCGCTCAAGTCTACAATAGTTTCAATCGTCAACGCCAAGAAAGATCCCGAAGAATCTGAAGAATCGCTCAACACTGCTGTCCGAAAAGCAGGAGTTGCAATCAAGGAAAAGGCTCAAGCCGTCCGAACTTGGCGACAAAGCTTTGACGCGGAGACGAATTCACTTATTGGGAAATCGGTCAAAGATACGTTTGATATCATTGATCATATAAGGGACCTGGGTTTGCAAGAAATCGGAATGCGATGGGCCTGGACCGATGGAATTACTCATAAAGATTGGACCAAATATCATGCGTTGAAGAGTAAATTTGAAGAATGGCGACTTGATGTTGAAAAAGTCGTCACTGATCATCCAGGTCTTGCGAAAGCTCGAGCAGCCTCGGAAGACGTGGAGAGTAAAGCAATGGGTCTTGCTGGAGATGCAGCAGCTGAATTATCTCGTATTAAAGAGACTGGTAAATGGAAGATATCGACCGGCGATTCCAGTGAGGATTTCAGCACCAAATATGTGCCGCCCGCAGTTGAAGTCGCTGGCCAAAAGGTCATGGAAAAGATCAGTGAGGCCACTGATGCTATGGCCGGTACCACACAAGGAACTCTAGAATCTGTCTCGTCAGTCGCTAATCAGGCGGCTTCATCCATCTCTTCTGGTGTCATTGGCACACCTCAAGGAAGTATTGAAAGTGCTAGCTCTGTTGTGGGTGAAAAAATTGGTAGTATTTCGCAACAGGTATCATCATCTATAATTGGTGAGCAACCGGGAGTTGTTAGCCAGGCTTCAAGCAGTGTCCAGTCTGCAGGCTCTGCTATTTCTAGTTCTGCGTCCAGTCTTTCCGATGCCGCAAGTTCATCAATATCATCCATCAGCAGCGTAATTTCCGACGAAGCTTCAACGGTATCCAAATCTCTCGAGTCCGCATCATCTTCTATTGCCAGTTCTTTATCAAAGAGTGCAACCGACGCTACCAGTTCCCTAAGCTCATCTGCATCGGTCGCGTCAAGTACAGCATCCAGGAAAGTTTGGGGTGGAGCAATAGCTGCTCACGTTGAGGCACGACAAATTATTTTTGATGATGTCATTGATGATTCTGACGAGGAAACTTACAGTGAGAAGATACAAAGTATGGCAAGCGTGGCTGGGGATCAATTCAGTGACATGACAAGAGCAGTCAGCGAAGCATTGTTGAGACCAACTAGTACACAAGGATCTGTGGAGAGTGTAACCAAGCTTGCTGCTGAGCAATATTCTAGTGCTTTGTCTGCTGCGAGTTCGGTTCTATATTCAACGCAACAAGGGACTGGTGAAAGTGTTGCTAGTATTGCCACAAGTCGATATGCTGATGCCATTGCTGCGTAAGTTGTTCAATTATCACTCGCTATTGTTCTCAAATCCACTGACATTGTATAGGGCAAGCTCCATCATCTATGGCACACCTGCACCAAAGCTGGATTCCGCCGCAAGTTCGGCTAAGTCTGTCTACAGCGACGCATTGTCAAGGGCATCAGATCACTACTTACAAGCAAAATCTGTTGTCTCAGCTCAAGTTTCGGGATCTGCAAAGCCGGTTCACCAGGAAATGTTTAGTTCTGTTGAATCTGCTTACACCGATGCCGTTAATGCAGCTAGTTCCAGACTTCAAGTTGCACTTTCTGGCGTATCAACCGCTGTGTATGGCGCTCCTACCGGCGCCATAGAATCAATACAATCAGTAGCCGCATCAAGACTCTCAGAGGGCCTCAAAGCTGCTTCCTCTCAATACGATGCTGCCAAGAAACACATTGGCCCCGCACCTACCCCAGCTGCTCAACAACTACTCTCCCAAGCTCAAAATCAATACTACGCCGGTATCGGTCTAGCTCATGTCAGATATTCCGAGTTTCTTGAGGCGGCATCTTCAGCTGTCATGCCAACTCAGAGACCATTTCACGTGAGTATTTATGATAAAGCCAGCGCCAGTATTATCGGGACTTCTACACCAGCATACGAAGCAGCTCTATCTCAAGCTTCAAAAGAGTACTCTAGTGCTGTCGCAAAGGCCCAAGCAGGACTTGATAAAGTCATTGAAGGACTATCCAATGTTGCTAGTGATGCTGTACCCGCTGCAAAGTTTACTGATCTTGCGTCGTCTCGTTTTGCTAAGGCATCATCTCAAGCTTCTGCGAGCTACGCTAGTCTTTCTTCCGAAATATCTCAAAAAATGAATGCTGTCACTTCTAGCAGCACAACACCACTTCCTGAATCTCTTGCGTCTGTCGCTAGCGAAAATTGGGAAGCTCTCATCACGAAAGCTAGTCATCAAGTCTATGGATCCCCCACACCATATTTTGTTACAGGCAATTTCCTCTCGAATGTACAACAATATGCTGCACAAGCTACAGACGGTGCAGCGTCTCAATATTCGGCTGTGCAATCGCTTATCAATGAGCTCGTGGTTGGAAAAGAACCCGATTTCACCGAAAGCGTCTACAGTCGATTGAGCTCCGCTTACTATACGGGTGCAGGTGACGCTGTTTCTTCGGCGTCATCTTATGCAAGTCAAGCTTACGCATCGGCTAGTTCCGTCGCAAACTCGATCTTCACCCCTCCTCCTGCAATCGAGAAAATTCTTGATGCTGCTTCCCTTCACCTCAACGAGGCTGTTGAAGCTGCTAGTGCTCAGTACTATGGTACCGAAAAGGGTGCTTATGAAAAGGCTACCGAGGCAGCTGCTTCTGCTTCTGCTTCTGCCTCTAGCGCTGCGAGCGAGGGCATATATGGTACACAATCAGGATATGCAGATCAAGCTCAACTTTCGATTTCAAACGCCGCTGCCTCCGCCCAAAAGGCGATTTCAGAAGCAATCTACGGAACACCCACTGGCACTTATGAGTCAGCAACTCAGGTTATAGCAGAGAACTTTTCTTCTGCAACTTCTGCGGCTGCAGAATCCTATTCAGCTGCGCAAGCTAAAGTTTCGGAAGCCATCTATGGCCATGAACAAGGAGCTGTGGAGAGTGCGCAATCAAGATTAAATGCAGCAGTTGAGTCAGCACGAGCTAAGCTAACAGAGTTCGCATCATCGGTTGGAGAAGGTGGAAATGAAGCTCTCAGTAAAGCGAGTGAGGGTGTTGAGCAAATGGCTAGTAGTGTGGGGAGTGTCGTTGGAGAGGCCACCCAAGCTGTTGGTGGAAAAAAAGACGAATTGTGATGGAATAGATCGCGATTGGGAGGCTTTAGTGAAGATTGTCTAATGAATAATGAGATAGGTTCGGCTGGTGGGTGGGCGTAGGTGGCTTTATACTAAAAAAAGATGCGTGGAAAGGTTATTTTTTTGGTATGAACCTGAGATGTATTAAATTTCCCTTCTGTTTTGCTGTGATGTGTTTACTAGCGGATACTCTTTTAGTTGATTGATATGATACGAGATAAATGACATACAATATACCATCTACGCGCTCGATTTTCAATGTACCAAACTATAATTCAATGACCCGAGACTTCGAGTACTTTTGACTCTCGTAACTATTATGTTCAATACACCACCTCTCATCCGAATTGTCAATTTATGCTATATGGTATGATTTTCTCTCGTCCCTTGTTTGCTCTTGTGTCATTTCCACGAGTTAAAACGTGCCCATTTAAGTAGTGGAATCGAGATCTATATTCACAAATTTACTCTCGCTTTGTCTTATTACAGCATGCAACTAAATGTATGTCATTCCGTGCAGAACTTTGATTGTAAGCGATGCGGCTGACTTTGACGCTACGAGCTGCTAACAACTTATCCATTACCCGAAAAGGTAACCCGATTACAGTTCGTGTGGAGAGATTCAGTAATGGTGGGAAGTAATTGAATGGGGGTGCAAATAACTATGCAATTTTATGTCGGATCTTTAGAATAATCTCAGCTGATGCTTGTTTTCTTGGGGCGTAGGTTATGGATTGAAATGGGTAGTCTCTTCGTAGACTGCGAAAATTGGGTTTCGTCATTCGTGATTCGTAGGGGTTATTGATATGAGGGATGGAGGGAAATTAGTAAAGGTAACTGAATGGACGTCGATGGCTAGGACAACGATATGTATAAGAAGGTTTCCTTTGCCCGATAAATCACCCAGATCTCAACCTTTTTTATTCTTTAAGCTTAATCACTCATATCAACATTTCATTTACTACGCTTTTAGCTTACGCTTTTAGCTTGTATCTTTTCATAATGCAATCCAAATTTGTCTTCTTGTCTATCCTAGTCTCGGCAAGCCTATCAGTTGCCCTTCCAGCAGCTTTCAACATCTCAGACCCGTCTACTGGTCCTATACCCAGCGAAACGGACTACTATAGTTCGTATCGCGGTAAACCTGCTCCGTTTCCAGGGAATTCTACGTCACCTATCTTACTAATAGAAAGTGGTCCACCCGGACCTGATGATCTTCTCTTTCAGAATCTTCTGGCCGCAGAATGGGCAGTATTCTCCTTCTACCAACAAGGCGTCGAAGCTCTAAATGCTACATCATTCACATCCATCGGATTCCCAAACACCACCTACGATCGTCTCCAAGAAATCCGCGATAATGAAGCTGGTCATCTCCGAATATTTCAGGATTCCATATCTAACACATCGATCAAACCCGGCGCGTGCAACTACGATTTTGGCTGGGGCACCGCCACCGAATTCCTAGAGATGCAGGTATTGATTGAAGTCTCAAGTATGGCATTTGCGGCTGGACTCGTGCAGCAAGCAAATTTGAATGTGACGAAAGGTGCCTTGATGGTAATTGGAGAAACGGAGACTCGACACACTACATGGGCTTTAATATCTGTTTGGGGAGCTGATCCCTTTGCCGGACCGATTGATACGAGTTTTCCGTATGCAAATCAAATTTTAGACTCGACGAATCGATTTATTGTCGATGGTTCATGTCCAAGTGCGAATCCCGGGTATCCATCTCCTAGTCAACATTTACCCCAATTGCAAACCCCTGAGAATGTTACTGGTGGAGGGAATTTGACATTTGTGTATGAGAAAGGTAGTGATGGGGCTGAGATGCCGGTCTTTGAAGAGGGAAAAGATTATTATGCTGTTTTCTTCCACGGGTTGGAGATAATATCGGTTCCGTACAATGTTGCTACTAATAGCACGACTTTCCCTTCTGAGCTAGAGTTGAAGGGCATAATCTTGGCGGTTATTGCGGATGAGTTGGATGCACCTACGGAGAAATCTGTTGTTGCTGGGCCTGCTTTTATTTTGGAGCAACCGGCGATACTTGCTGCTAGTGGGATATAGGAACCCGCGAACGATGCTTGAAGCTTGAATGCTAGAGTTAAGATCACAAATATCGAAACAGCTTGTAGAATGCATTTCAAAGTAGCAGTTGGCGCTTCTGGGATGATATAGCTTTGTATGATGGAACAATATATTGGTAAACTATTATAATACCATGGTACAGCCTGCTTCTGCGATTTCACTATAGGATTTTATTTGTGCGTGCTTGAAGCGGATCACTATGTCACCTTCTACTAACAAACAAAGATGTAATCATGATGAAAGTTCTGTACGGTTTAGAAAATCAAAACGACATATGCAAGAGGACATCTACAATTGCAACAGAAACAAAGTTCAGGATAGTAGAGATGAAATAAAACAATTTCATATGCCCAGCGGGAGATTGACCATGATTGTGAAGTCATATTGCAAAGTTTCTGCCCGCTCGATTGACAAGTTTAAGATCTGAAACTTTATAGTGTCTCCTCGATATCCTCAGCCTTCGCAGCATCACTGTCATCGGAGTCGTGAATCTGCAGTCTTGGGTCCCTCCAACTAATACACAAGCTTTATGATTAGCCACCGCAAGAAACTCAACTGACTAGAAGATATGAGATTTCCAGGAACATTATAGACTTACACAGGTCTCCCCGCACAATCAAAGGTTAGACCCTCAATGCCACTCGACGTTTCCCTTCTTGCCAAAAGCAGTCTATTCCCCTCTTCGTGTCTATAAACTCTAATCTCTCTCCTACACCTTCTCCTAGCCTTTGCATGCTGTGGACTGCGGAGAATAGCTTTTCGAGGTCCAAGATCTTTCCAGTTTCCAGGAATGGGTGGAGGCGAAACCATTTCGGCCTCCAGCCGAGTGAGACAGTTACCCATCGTGAATGAAAAGTGAAGTAGTCTTATTCAAGGATTTTGATAGTTGAAAGACACATGAATAGGTAGTATGTGTTGTCGTCGTCAACTCCACGACTGAAGATACAGAGGAAGTCCATTTGGTACACAGAAAACAGACACAAAGATTTTCGGGGCACAATATTAACTACGAGGTGACATCAAGAACAGATTACTACCTACTAAATTGATGTGAGAAATTTCACACGGTGATCTTACGACTCTTGACCATCGTGAAATTTGAGCCAGCAGAAAAGGACAAGAGGAAACGAGAACAATGAGAGAATCACAACCAATCTCGATCTATGCTGTTGTCATACTAAAAATAAGTCGAATCTGGGGATGATCGTAAAACCCCGGATTCTGGAAGGTAGACAAAAATGGCCACTAATTGCAAACCATGTTAGGCTTCATACTATGGAAATACCAGTTCCAAGGTATTCAAAAAGAAACGGCTTGAATACGACATTCCTACTCGTCAACAGGTTTATCTGCCTCTCCAGAAACAACACCCATTATCTACGCCACGTTTCATTTTATGAAAGAACTTACGAAAAAACAGAAACAATTAAACATTTTCTATATATAAAAGTTTGGGTAAGATTTAGGATTTGACTGCCCGGAATGCAGGGTTGTCGGGTCATCGGTCATTCGCCAAAGCTTAACTTTAAATCCTACCCCTTCATCCACAAGGCGACTTTCAGTATTTCATTGTGAGTATTTCATCATGAAGGATTTGTTTCTGCGCCCCAAACATCATACAAATTTCGGCTTGATCGTGCGAGAAAATCCTACTGTAACGTCGTCGTACAACATGTTAGATCACGTATTCAGCTTCCAGGATACACATAAGATGGAAAGCCCTCCCAGCTTAGAGTTATGGGCGATCGCTTACAACAACTCATCATATAAAAAATACCTACCTAAGTGAACGAACTCATCTAACCCGAGAAACTTCATCGAGAAAGCTACGATATATCGCAATGTCAAACCTAGTACTTCTCCAAGTGCCTCATTCACCGGGCCCTAAACACAACCGAAGCTCTTCAGTTTATTCTCGCAACTCTTGTGATTTGACTTTCTCCGCCTATACTGGGACCACTCTAGCTGTCGAAACATGTCCCACAACAACTCGAGCCCGTGAATCACGATTGAGCTATTCAGGTCCATGTGATGGGACGGTATTTTATATTTACGATAAACCATTGCCACCATTGCCACGGGAAGCTCTTGTTCAGAAACAGAAGCCTTTGCCTCCGTTGTAAGTATACTCACTTGTCTCCAATCATTCGATATCAGCATGCTAATTTCATATCAATCAGACCCCTCAATATGTCTCGTCGCAGATCCCATCAAAACATGAAAAGTACAATGCTGGAACCGAGGAACGATACCATATACTATGACGAGAAAGAGGTGTATGTCCACAACCCGTTAAGTGATGAGAAAGTCGTGCTGGTAGAAAGCTGGGATGAGAAGGAAAAAAGATTGTGAAAGGGTTCGATCAATGTTGTATGAATAGCATAGTGGCTGTGATGTGGGAATCACAATTGGATATCCAGAGATCTTCTAGACATCGATGTACATAATTCGGAGAGCGGGGTACACGGTCTTTTTCAGGGATCTGAGGGCGGAAATCAGGGTCTTCCGCGCGCAAAATATACTTTCCGGCGTTGAGTCTGTGGTGGGGCATATGCTTGGAGCACTAATTGCCTTGGGATAAGAAAATGCTTGGTCTTCCTAAATCTTCATTTCTTACTCATTGTATACATAATAACATATTTTTTGACCAATTTATTTTCTCACTGAGATATTGATCTTTACTACTATTTCGCTTTGACGAACTATTACTTCTCAAGGGTCTTCATCACCACCTTGAGCAATTTCTCTACCAAACAGAGAGCCCAGAGCAGAGCCCCTCATACGCTTCGCCGAGTCAGAGTGATGGAATTGACCCTCCATGTCTCAAGTATCCATCGATCTCGCATCTTTTCCACTAATTCGCTGTCTAATTCCCGATCACTCCGAGTTGATTTGCTTTGATTCTCGTTTAATATCATTATTTTGAAGACAGCCGAGGAGCTGAGAACTGATATTGTTGGACCTTTCGCAGAAATGATCGTGAGCGGCGATGTCATTTATTCCCTTGGTGATTTCTTCTCTTCGCAATTACCCGAAGTCAATCAGCTCGTTGAACCTTTATTGACAAGCGTTACTCTTTGCCTTTGAGTTTGATATATGATTAGTTGAGAGATTTCGCTTTCGGGAGGCGAGGGGTTAAGAATTCTGTGTTAGTTACACTTCTTGCACTGTCAGCTTGTTTCTCTTCCGGCGTCGCTTTGGTGTATGAATGGTTCCAGCCTAACGGCGAAGTGTTGGTATTATAATTATTGTGTTGTGGCTTCACTGATCCGTTGAGGCATGTCTCAAGTAAATTTTGCTCTCAATTGCTTAGATTCTTACAAATTCTGCAAATTCTGTTAACATCCTACTGTCCCGTGATTCTAGAACTGACCCTGCCTCCCAACATTCCTTCCAATTCACCACGCCTTTAACCATTCTATTTTCTAAAGTGTCTTTCAATCACATAGCACTTCAAAGACTCGAAACCTCTGTTGCATGTGACCACTCATCCTCCAATCCCTTCAACCTTGCTAGGAACTCTGCCCACGATTCCCTCGTCACATTGGAGTCGAATTCAATCGTGATATTCTCACTCCTCCCATCGTTAACTCTTCCACCCATAGCATCTGGAGAATCAATTCCACATTTCTTCAACTCAAACGTGTTTCCAAAAGCAGCTTCAACTTGATTGATAGCACGAGTAACATCTTCTAAAGTTTTGAATGCCTAGAGAAAACTGTTAGTAGACGAATTTCTTCATTGATGAGATAATGAAAAGACTCACAAAGACACGATTTGGACAATCGCCTCGAGCGTCGCCGTTCTTGAGTACTGTTACCCTTAGATGCCATATTGAAGTTGATCCCTCGGAATTGTGCTTCCAGAGGGTATGGGCTCCCAAGTTCTCATGGGGGAAGTCGACTTTTTGTCCGTTGCCATGTAGCTCTTTATCGCTGGTATTCATGATATCTGAGTAGCCTCTCATTCCAAGTCCGGGGCGTGTCATCGTGATTTTATTTGCGATGCGATATGAAGATTGTAGTGTTGAGATGTGTTGTTTGTATTGATTTGATGGTGTGTGAATCGATTTTACTTGTTTGGTGCGGGTACGGAAATCATCTTCTCACCTAGCATCAGGGACTTTTATATATATCAAGTTAGAAAATCGCGTGAGGCGTCATGCTTAGATGCCATGATCAATGTGACACGAGAATTGGTAGCCATTTCAACATTCGTGGTCGGAATAGTTTCATTGACCTATCGGGTAGTTTCATCGCGGCTGGGTTTTGGGGAAATCACACCACTGGGCTTACAGCATGTGAATTTTTGCTGTACCTGGTGAATGCGACCTGTTTTAATGCGTATATGACCTGATTTTTCCCAATCCCATCGCCGATGGCAATAGTTTTGCTGTGGCTGCGAAACAAAACCGTGTATAGCCAATGAGTTTTTCTGTGCATTGCAAGTATGTAGCCGCGGTTGTGTCACATCACCAGTTTTAAAAAATTGAACAACGCCACTGAGGAGGGGATGGAAAATTTGAACATTGACACTGATCAATTCACTCTGCATACTTTCATCGATCATTTGATCGTGATTTTAGGATTGTTGAGAACTTCGACGCCATTTTGACGAGTGAGTAATCTCTTATTCGTGGCGTGGAAGCTGGGAGTGTCTGGCCATTCGCGACACATATGCGTTTCTCACGCGGCTGTCAGAATACCGGTATGCCAAGACATAAAGAAGCTTAAATTTGCGTTTGAAATGCAACATTCGAAAGATAAATCCGTACATTGCCCTAGTTGTCACTTTTATGTGTTTGGATTCAATGGAATTGTTTCGAGGAGATGATTGGACGCATTAGGTTAGCGAGCGAGTATTTGGCGGGGTGAAAGATTCTCCACATAAGTTTTTGGCGCCTTCCTTTCTCTCTTTTTCAACAACGATGGCAGGGTTACGACTTTTTCTTCATGTTCATGCTGTGCTTACATTTATATGCGTTGTATAGATTTCTACCGATCAACAATCATTTTTTCTGGGAAGTTAAAAAGATCTTGCAATATGTCATTAGTGTGGCATTGTTTCCCAAAGCTGTAACCTTCCTCCGTTCGCGCATAGTTGAACATCCTCCACCAAGATACCCTTGTTGCAGCCGACATATATCACAGAACCGCGATTTTGATTATAATATCCCCCAAATGTGATGGGACTTAGGCAACGTTCTTGATGTTCGTGGTTCCTGGTTCTTGCTTTTGCTTTTTGGCGTTGCAATCAACAATTGCGCTGAAAATGTTTCTCGATTTATTCAATCCAGATCTCCAAACCTTAGATCTAAGATCATCTAGTGAATCATGATGAAATTCATGTTAATCTCAGGCCAAGAGGAGCCTTCGTAAGTCCCAGATCTACGAATCAAAATTCGTTGTTGTTTTGACTCTGTTCACATCAGCTCAAAAACAAATTGAGAATAAGTCGAGAACAATGTATAAATAGATCACATACTCAACTCGCGCTTCAAAACAATGCTTTTCGCTATGACTATAAATACTGGATCATCGTATAGTTATCTACATGTCTCAAACTCCAAGAATCCCAGACTCTTGCAATAACACAACTAAATATGGACATTGCACAAGAACTCTGCGTCATTGACGAGACATTCCACACAGTCTGTGGCCATATCATCACCAGGATTAAGCATGTAGATGAACATTGCCCACACTTCGATAGAAATCCTTACCTCGAGGGTCAATACATTAACTGCCAATGTAGAGCCTATCACATCAATCAAGCCACAGTCCTTGACTCATCCTGTAAGTTCTGCTTGAATCCTGAGACTGATGCTATTGTTAACGAATGGAGGTCTGACACGCAAGCAATTACACCCGCCGAGATCCAATCTCGTCGGGAGTTTTGGACACGATACACCGAGGGGCAGAGAACACTTTTCGCAAGACAGGAGGTTTTGGAACTCGATGCCGTGATTGGCAGGGAAGCCTACGAAGTGGGGGTACAGCTGCATCAAGATGGTGCAGATGAGTTGACCGAGGAGATACTCGATAAATTGGCATTGAACCGCATCAGACTTGACAGAGCCCGATACTGGTACATCGCACAACAAACTTACCACTTCGGACAGATCAGAAGAGGCATCCCGGATGATGAGCTTGAGCATCTGTACGAGGAAACAAATCTCAACCCCGCGATTCTTGCACCAGTCCTCCCAGCGGATCTCCCAGATGACGAAATCTGTGGGATCTGTCGAGAATCCGTGCATGTTCCGGGAGTCGGTGGGCTCACAGATCTTCGTCGGGTCTTCTGCGGTCGTCACATTTTCCATCATGATTGCATTCTTCCCTGGTTCCGAGAAGGAAACCCGAATACCGTCACATGCCCTGCTTGCAGGGCCACAAGGAACATCATCATTCCGCCAGACTTTTTTGACATAGTTCCTCTAGTAGCCAGATGAGTCAATCCTTTCCTACTTTTCCTACTCACAATTTCACCTCATACACATTATCCAATTAAACATCTACCGAATCCAACCCTATCGTGCCCTACGTGTGAACTCCAATTAACCACCATATTTCGAGACGTCTAATTCTCAAAACTATCTTGTTGTGATCTCTATATCCTACATTCATTTTCCAACTTGGCTACTGTTGTCTTCCAGGCCCTTCTACTATCATGAAAATCTCAACACTGAGCAGCGTTTACGAAACTCCATTTGCCCAATACCTCTCCAAATCAAAATATGTGTGAAAGTCCAGAAAATGTGGCGTTAGTGGACAACCATGATTTGAATATAAACATCACATATCACGACCGGGAAGTTGGCCACCTAGTACTTGATCTTCCGAACATACGCATATATATCACAATGATGTTACTCCTCGATTCACCATGTCCTATCAAATTGTATTTCGATTGTTTTTAGTGTCTCTAATCGTGCTCGTATTCTGTGGTGATACAGTGAGAGTATTACAAATACCCTCAAATAACAACTTTAGAAATTATACAGACCAGAGAGCCAGCTCACATCTTGATCTGGTCATTTCTCAGAAGCTACAAAGAAATGAGAAAGTTCTCATATATTCCTTCACGGCAACCTTTCATCTCAGCCTCACACCTAATCAATGATAATCCTCCACCCATCACCAAGCGTCTCATTCCTAGAGCCAAGTCCTCCCCAAATCATGAGTTGTTTCGTGCCCGTCATCGAGCTACCAAAGTATCGTCTACTAGTCCAAGCTCCACCTTTCTCTTCATCTGCCCCCACCTCTATTCCGCTGATTTGGAGACGAGACCATTCTCCTCTATGGCTATCTACACCCGGCAGTTTTTCTCGCACGACATCTTTCACCTTTGCGCCCGAATATTGCGCTGGTGGAAGTTGATAGATCCAAATATCCGAGAATTCTTCCTTGTCATCAGAGCCCAAAGCCAACAATAAATAATCCCTACCGTTTCCGATAGTAATGAAATGCAAAGCCGCAGATTCGCGAGGTAATGGAACCTCAGATGGTTTGCTCGTATCGAATTCCATTGTCTCCCATTGAATATTACTCTTAAGATCGTTCATGTGACCTTGAGCCAAGTCCTTACTCACATCATCCAGAGTTCCACCGGTAGGATATTCCAGGAAGTCGATTTGTCCACGAGGAATCGAGCCTGTAGATTTCTCCGAATCGACACTGTACCCCAATCTCCATAATTTTCCTTGTCCGCAGGTGAGATTGATTCCAGATGTTGGTGACCCTGGAGGATCTGGTAGCCTGCTCCACTTCCCTTCATCCAGATAAAATGCCCACAAATCATTCAAACGCACTTGATCAGACGATAATCCTCCATAAACGAAAATGACAGAGCCGTCAGGACTCGATGTGCTGACATGTTTCGTTCGCGCAAATGGAAATGTGGTGTCTGGGGGAGGATCCAGAAATGTCCATTTTGAAGATAATAGGTCGAATACCCATAATCGACCATTTTCTTCCAAAGGCTTCGGACTATCAGAAGGCTTTTCACTCCCGCCAAAAACGAAGAAACGATTTCGAGCAACGGTTGCTGAATGATATGTGCGAGCTAAAGGTACAGATGCTGTATTCTGTTCTCCATCTCCGACTGCTGGAATGGATCGCAAAACTGCAGTCGTGGTATTCTCATCAGTTGAGACGTGAAGCTCAAGGACATCATTTGTCAAGGATTGAGCATTGAGATCCTCAGAACCACCAAAAACGTATGCCCTATCACTAATCACCGATAAAGTATGTCCATATCGCAGTAATCTATCCGTGGTCGTCACATGTTCGAGATGTCCTTTTAAAGGTAATGTTGATTTCGACAGATAATATGCCGCGACTCCTCCCTCAACGGCTGTTTCGACACCGTAAGCGGCGGCAGTTACGATAGCTGGCTCCATTATGATTTTAGAGTGATTTATATTTGTTCTACTTGAATCAATAGAGTTTGTTATGTTGTGAATTGAAGTTGTGGTTGGATCTTTTGCCACTGGAAATGACGTAATGATCGTCGCGGGCCAGGAACGTCCCTTAACTTTCTAAGAGCACCCCTTTCGCCATCTAGGCGCACATCTCTTTGCGGCCAAGAAAGCAAAGCACTTATCACGTGCATCTATGTTCTCAGCAATTTGGTCTACATATCGGTTTTGGAGGAATCAAGAATGACAATGAACATCATACGAGAATCCTTTGCTTACCTATTTGCATGAACATCTGGTCTGCTTGTGAAACAGACAAGCACTGAAAACAATTCGGAAAACATCGAGTATGAATGGAACAATACAAGCTGTCATCTCATTTCTTGGCCTTTTTGTAAATGCTTTATAAAGCTTGTTTTAACAAAGAACAAAGAGATGAAGGAATGATCTTGAATTGCTATAATCCTTTATACACAATTAATTATATGAAATTATAAATAGTCATTGTACGCGCTAATTTCATATGTATATACAATGATTGAATGAATAAGTATTATAAAACATATTAAAAAGCGGCTGTGCTTTTCCCTATATACAAGGGCTTTAACCAATAAAAACATTATGTTTTTTTAAAATTAATATAATGAACTTTAGTATGCCAAAATATTATAAAGAAATATCTAAATATATTTAATTATATTAGAATCTTATATATATTCTATTTATTACAATTATTGCTTTACAACATTTTTTCATAAATCTTAATAATTTTTTTAGATAATTCTTTAAAATTATCTTCTATACTTCTTTTATAGCCTTTTTTAATATTTTATAACTCAATTTATCTATAGAATAATAATTCCAAATTCATTCTTTTATTCAATTCCATATATTTTTAATAAAATTGAAATTAGGAAAAAAAGGAAGCCAATTTATCTTTTCAATTTCTCTTTTAAAAAGATCTTGAATAATAATATCCGCAAAGTATTCTAATATACTATTTTATATAAATATATGATCTAAATTCAATCTTATCCAATTATAAATAATAAATATTATATATATTTAATAAAATTCAATATTAATAATTCTTTAATCCTTTTTCTAAAATATATTTAATACTTTGTCTAATTTGTTTGAAAAACAATCCTAGAATATTTATTTGGTTTTCTTATATTCTCTTTTTAATATATATATAGGATTAAAAGCTTTATTTTTTTGATATATAATATATATCTTTTTATATAATCCTGTAGTTACTCATATTTTATTTGATTATAAAATAATATTTTATTATTCTTAATTCAATAAATATAATCTAATATAAATTAAAATCAAATTTATTGATTTCTTTTTGATACAAAAGATTTTCAAAAAGTAATATAATATTTATATTTTGTTTTATATAAAACAAATCAAATAATAAATTCTTCTACTCCTTCCTAAACTAATATAATAACAACTTTTCAATATAATATTCACCTATTTGTTTTTGATTTACTTATAACTTAAATAAATTAATTAATTTGATTAATAATCAAAATAAAAGATTAATTAAAACATTTTTAAAGAATTACTTATATTTTAATAATATAATAAATCTATCTATATATCAAATTTACTTTTTTTAAAAAAAAAAGATTAAATCTCTTCAGATTTTAAATTAATATAATATAAAACACATATTTCGATTTATTCATTTTAAATCATTTTTTCATATTTAAATATAGAAAATAATAATAATATAATAAATAATAATATAAATTTAGTATTTAAGAATATTAATAATAAGATAAATAATAATGAATTGATTTTTTTTATTTTAATAAATTCGAATATTATATTTTTTTTAGTATATTTATTTTAGTATATTTATTTTAGTATATTTATTTTAGTATATTTATTTTAAAGAAAATATAAAAAACGAGTTTTCTTATAATAATTCCTAAAAATACTTTTTAAAACTAATTTGAAATAGATTTTTAAAAATAGTATCAAAATAAATTAAATCAATTAATTAAATTTATTTATTTTGATATTTCACCTACATATGGGATCAATTAGTGTTTTATACAACTTACTCATTCAACCATTGTACTCCTTCACCCATTCCGCTCTGCTTAAAAACTAGACAACTGAACAATTATGGAGAAAGATCAGGCAAAACTTCAATGAAGATAAACTCTACCCTAGTACGAAAGGAAAATCAAACACTCACATTGTTGCAACAGGCTAATCTATTGCGTTGCCAGTAATAGAATCAGAAAAAAAGTTGCTAGAATTCAAATGTGATTCTCTTGAGATAAATCGGTTGGCAAATAAATTACTACTGAATATACTGCCTTAGTTTCTAGATTATCCTAGGGAATGGCGTCAATAACCGACGGTGATATGATAGAAACTTCTCAATACACAATGATACCTGTGACTAGGCTTCTTCGGATTTAGATCTGGAGTGATCATCTCAGAATTGGATTGGTCGACAAATTCTTGTGTAGTGTGGAATTCATTTCGATGCTATGCTGCTAGAAAATTCCAATATACACCCCCTCACGAGCAATATCAACGCTGGCCAAGTTGACCTCACTAATCTATTCAAAAGGTTCAAAGAAGGAAACTACAAAAAGCTCTTAGGTAATGAGCATCCACCTCCACAGTTTGAGCCTCCTGTAAAATGCCATCGCTAGCAGCCCCAAGGACAGCAAAGTTTCCTCACCTCGGTGCTAGCTCAACCCCCTAGTTTTCAAAAACCATTCCCTTTTCGTTGTATTGCCGACACTTCTTTTCTTCGTTTCCTCTATTTTAATGTCTATGCTTGCAATATCTTAAGATGAATTATTCCACCAGTCGTTATTTTGATAAGGTTTCTTCTAACCGCCTTTTTACAAAATTGTCAAACATGTCAAACAACGTCGAAACACACCAACAATTAGCTCTGTAAGTCCGTATAGGTAATCGACGAAAGCCATATCATGTAACTTGCTTGCCACATAGGTAGTTGGGCATCTCTTCACTTTCCTCACTGCTGTTGTCTCCGTAGTCGGGTAGAATAGTTTTGCGTTTCTTGGATTTATTGCAGGTGCGTATGGAGCGTCGCGAATATTTATTCCTTTCATTCAGTCCATAATCTTCCCCTGATACCGCAGTTTCACGTTCCATGATTGGCTCAGAGTCAGACAATTCCGAATCTTCCCTCCCCAAACTGGAAGATGGATTATCACCGATGATAGTCTTCGGGGCAGCTTTGAAGTGTTGTGCCACTTTCGGTTTTGGTTTGGAAGCCTGAAATCTATCCTTATGCTTCTTTCGAGCCAGCCCAGCTCCCAGCCCATTCAAAACATCTCTTACGGTTGTAACAGCGCCAAAGATTCCTCCTTCTTCGGTAATCGATGCGACAGCACTTTTATGATTTTCGAGGACGCCGGCGGCACACGCGTCCTTCACCAAGACGCAATCAAAGTTGTTATCATTGGCATCCCTCATCGTACTCGTTACACAAACGTCCGTTGTTACACCACATATAATCAAATTCTTGATACCTTTGATGTTGAGCATAAGCCGGAACTCTGTGTGTTGAAAAGCGCTCCGACCCGGTTTATCAATAACTGGCTCATTTGATAGGGGCATCAATTCATCGATAATTTCATGTCCTTTCTCCCCACGGACCAAAAGACGTCCCAGTGGGCCATGATCACCGATGCCGAGTCCAGATGGATTATTTCTTGAGCGGTACCTCTCACGCTCGGAAAGGGTGGACAAATCAGGCCGATGGCCTTCGCGCGTGTGGTAAATTGGATATCCTTTGGCTCTGCAAGTGTCGAGAAGGTTTCGAATGTTGGGAACAATGTCGAGAATTGGCTTATTATCAATGTTTTGCTTTGCCAAATATCCCTCGGCAGAAGCAACTGCAGTGAAATAAAGTTAGTAAGTGCGCATGAATTTGATTTGCATCCATAGTAAGAGGATTTGAAATCAAATGCGTGAGGAATTATTGGAGTCTCTGAGCTTTCCTGTGAATAAAGAATCCTATACAGAATTCATTATCGGCGTTCTCTCTTAGTAGTATATGCGTATGTAAAGAAGGTGCTAATAGATGCGTCACATGGATTATACACGCCCAACAACGGAAAATAGATTAGAGCTTAAGACTTACAATCTTTCTGCATGTCAATAATGACTAGCGCCGTGGTGGATCTGTTCAGTGTACCGTCATGAGGCCACTTGTAAGGTATGGCCTGTAGCTTGGTGTATCTTTGCGGACACACCACAGTAGAACGATGTTCGCTATCAATAGCTCTTCGTTCTTGTAAAGTAGAGGGAGACATTCTGAAAGTTTGGCAGTGGTTTTGTATTGAAAGTGAATGTGGTGGGTTTCGATGGAAGTTGAGAATTTTTGATATGAAAGAGGATCTCTTGGATTTAACAACTTTGACCTTTGCTGCAGAAACGGCTGTTGCTGCTCGAGTTTTGATTTCGAATTTCAGCTCATCAATCTCGTCGTAAATCTTCTCTGAGGTTACTGATGCATCACCGTTGGTGCGTATTTTAGAGAGAGTTTGGTGAGGCTCAACGATCGGAAGAATAGCAGAAGAATTGGTATGAATGATAATTGATGGAGGAGTGTTGTCAGAAGTTGGAATTATTTGTTGATAAAGATTTGGGCCATTCGGTCCTTCCATTTTGAAAAAATCTTATGTAGGGGTCAACAACTAAGTAAAACCCGACTAAGCAGAGATTCTCATTCGACCAGAGTTGGATTCAGTCAGATGAGGAAGGAATAACGGATTGAACCAAGAGAATATCTTGTGGTCAAGCTGAAAACAACGAACAAAAAGATGGTGGATTATAAAGATGTTGAAGAAGAGATAGGTTATGTATACTATATCAATTTCACTGATTGATTGATATATATCTTAATTTGACAAGCTTCTTGAATTCGATAGGCCAAGTCAAAAGTCCGATCATGTACTGACTGCAGGTACAGCTGGATCTTGTTCCTGCCTCGGGTACCTACGAACATAATAGGGGAAGCTCCAAAGATCATGGCGCAGAACTTCAAGTGAAGCAATCATCATTTACGGCTCATTGCAGGCATAGAGTCATGCTGGCTTTGATTCATTCAATTGACTAAGGACGAATCTCCGTGGAGTATCAAAAGAATTTGACAAGTCCCAAATTCCCTTCTTTGAAATTGTATTACGACATTTGCTCATCCAAGTCAGTCGTCTATTTGGTGAGATTCTGCACAAGCCTGCTCTGCTACCTGCAGTGCAAAAATCCGGGGTAGTACATGCGGGAATCTTGCAGATTCTGGAATGGGTGTAATAGCCCAGCCGATATGTTGGTCCTACTTAATTGTAGATCAGTACATGTAGTACAAACCAGAATTTCGGATTAGTGTAGAAGGGGGAAAAAAGAATCATCGAATGAGATGTTGGGCGGTGTGCAGGTTCCCGTCTCGTTTCACCAGAATGAATAATGGAAAAGAAGAATGGCGCTGGACCTTGCGTAGGTCCCATGTAGATATCCGACGGAAGAAAAGCCTGCTGAAGCAATTCCCTTTTCCTTTTTCCCCGCGGCGATGAATCTTGTGGGGCCGAGAAGATGGCAAATGTTCAGAGCGTCGAGAAGGAGGCTCCTCATACGAATTAGTTAGCTCAGCAGCTTGAGCTGACAGGCTCCAACATTGAAGCTCAATATTGGACGCTGGTAACATTGTTGGCACTCGCCTGAACCTAAAGAGTGACGGGTTCAAAAGGAATGTTACGTGTGAATTTCCAATATGTTCAGCACAAGAGACAACGCGTTGTATTGATGCCGATGAGCAAATGATGAGACTCGGCCTTCTTCGGTCGGAGGTATGCAACAACCCTCTCAATTTGTTTGAAAACAATCAATCAATACTTCCCTGCAATTGAATCGTGTTACGATGATGAATTTCTATCACATTTCAGATTTGAATCTAACATTCTTCGCACCTCGGACTTCAAGGGCAGGGAGGCAGTTTTCATTGATATTGGATGGGCTTCAAGTCGTACATCAAGACTAAACCACGTTATGGCGTCTGCGGTGTGTCTTGTTTGTAGATTGAGGCGGCCGAGGAGGTTATCCGATTCGAAAGAAAGCAATATCATAACCAAGATTCCGGGCAGTACATTTCCATTCATATATCTACATGCAAGAAAGCAAGCAAGTTAGAAGGCCGACATAGCCACTCGTAGTACCATCTACTTTGTAAGATTACCATATCACGGGAAAATAACGAAACGTAATAAGTTTATGTTGATGAACAACGGAATAATTAAAACGCTTAAAAAAGATCGTCTTGTGGAGAGGATTGCAGGCAAGCCACAGATAAGCCTAAAGAATTATCCTAGCATTGTTTGCCCCGGACCAATCCATTCCCCAACCATGACCCCATCAACCAGATAATCCAACGCTCATCGAGAAAAATGTTCCTCATTCTTCATTCTTTTCTCCGATACGGCAATTCAAGACAAGGTGCTAGATACAAACATGCATAAGCGAAGCACCATCATGGGTTTGCCGGAGGGAACCGTGATAGATGAGATATTGATAGCAGACTGATAGAGAGATTGCTATCGGATACAAATGACAAGATAGAAATTCATATCTATCTCAGCTTTTGTATCTCAATGACATCCCACACCACAGTCCTAGTTAGCTAAGTCAATATCATTCGACGAGGAAAAAGTCTAACATGGCTATTTCACAATCACCCCGGCAGTTGTAATGTTGCATCAAAAGTTGCGTTCCCCCCCATCCAACTTCTCCTCATACCCGTCAATATGATCCCGATAAGGTATGGATTTCTTGCTAGATGTTCTGGATGTGTTTATAAATACCTTGAGTTGTATCCTCGGTCATATGTCTCTCCACTCCTTAATTAACAGTACAACATATCTTGGAAATTACCACTGTCCTGTTCCAAAGCTGTGGTATTGGGAATCTTGACCTCGAGTATCTGCATTTCATTGTGAGGAACAAGATGAAAGAAGAAGGAGTTGCGGGAAAAGTCTTCCCTCCAGGTGTGGCTGAAGATGCCGCCCTAGAGAATATGGGTTATCGTCCGGGTAAGTTAATTTCCTTATGTCCTTATTATCTTGTTGGCGTACTATCTACACATGGCGACTTTTTTGATCGTCTGCTGATAAGCATAATCTCAGAGCTCAAGCGATCATTCGGTCTTTTGGGCATGATTGGTTTCTCTTTTTCCATTGTTACAAGGTGAGTGTTCTTCGGCGTATGCTGTGCATTCTCGAAATCCCAACACCGGTGATCGGCACCGGTGCTGCAACCTTGGAGCAGAAAAACGTGGCAAGATGGGACGCTTAACGCTTGCTAACGGCTTCGTGCAGTTGGAGTGCCCTTGGTGGTGTGCTTGTCACAGGTGTCAATGCTGGTGGTCCACCCGTAGTGAGTAACCTTTTACATTTCACATTCAGATCTTACCATGCCTCCAAATCCAGGCTTAATTCTCCTATCTATGGCTCGATTTTGAGAATTTTAGTCGATTCTCGAGGATGTTCATACATTGCACTGCGCTGGTATTGCGACATAGTCCCAAACATGTTCCACGACGTCCGAGACATATCAAGTTGTCAAGAATGACAAAAGCTATCTGCTATGCGACTCGAACTAACATGATTCGTTTACGCAGATGATTTGGGGCTGGGTAGGCATCAGTCTCGTTTCCCTCTGCGTCGTCTATTCCATGGCAGAAATGTGTTCTGAGTACCCCGTTGCCGGAGGTCAATACTCATGGGTCTACATTCTCTCACCGAAATCGTTGAGGAGACAATTCTCCTATCTTACGGGATGGTTTATGATCATCGGTCAGTCATATTCTGTCTCGTCATATTAGCATCGAATCTTAGTTGCACCTGAGATAAAAAGTGATACCAAAGAAGCATCTCATGACCTTTCATGAAACTTGACCCCATGTTCCCTGTTCTTCATGGCAATGATTATGACTGACGTTTTGTGGTACGCGCATAGGTATTCTTGCCATGGGCGCAACGAACAGTTTCATCGGCGCAAATTTTATCCTGGGCCAAGCGAATCTCGTTAACCCATCCTACGTAATTGAGCGGTGGCACACAGTCTTGGTCGCCTGGGCAGTGACTTTTATTGCAACATTCATCAATCTATGGGGATCGAAGATTCTTGACAAGGTATCTACAGTTGCGCTTGTCTTCAACATCGCATCGTTTATTGTGACGGTTGTCACTATCCTAGCATGCAACGCCAACAAACAAAGTGCGAATTTTGTCTTTCAAGACTTTCAGAACTTTACCGGTTTCGGGACGGCCATGGCTGGTATTATTGGCATATTGCAGCCGGCGTTTGGCATGTGTTGTTGTAAGTGTTTCTTACCATGCTGCCTTTATCATGGCTTCCTTTACTGTCTCCGGATATTACCCGGTTTCATTTGATTCACCACCAGGCTAACACAAAATGCTCGACTAGATGATGCGCCATCGCACATGACTGAAGAGTTAAAAGATGCCTCCAAAGAAGCTCCTCGCGCAATGGTTCTCTCTGTCTACATTGGATCCATCACAGGGTTCATCTTCCTGATCGCTATTTGTTTCTGCGTGGGCGATATCGATGCTGTTGCTAACACCTCCACTCTGGTTCCTCTGATTCAAATCTACGCCGATTCAACCAATAGTCACATCGCAGCATGTTTCCTAGCATCCGTGATCGTAGTCATCAACGTCGCATCTTCCAACGCACTGCTTGCGGAAGGAAGTAGAAGTCTATACGCATTCGCTAGAGATCATGGACTTCCATTCTCGAGCCATATCAGTAAAGTGAGCGCCAAGCACCAAGTTCCCGTTGTGGCTATTATTATTGGGACTATAGTACAAATGGCATTTAACAGCATATATTTTGGCACAGTAACAGGGTTTAATACTGTAATCGCTATTGCGACAGAGGGATTTTATCTTTCGTACGCCATGCCTCTTCTCGTGCGCATAATATCCCATATCAACGGATCACATCGACAACTTACAGGTCCCTGGGCGATGAGACCAGCCGTCTCATTGCTGGTTAATGGGGTTGGTCTGGCGTATTTACTTTTCGCATGTATTACTTTCAATTTCCCATCGGTGTATCCGGTTACGAGCGAGAATATGAATTATACTTCAGCAGCTATAGGCGTGATAATGATGGTAGCGGCGGTAACTTGGGGAACGACTGCTCGAAAGAGGTTTTCGGGGCCAGAGATTGAGGTTGTAGATGTGGTGACGAGGGTGGAAAGGATGGATTCGGATGAGATGAGTAGAAGGGAAAAGAGAGAGGAGAAGAAGAGTGGATGAGCGGAAGGGGGAGAGATACGGTGACGAAATTGATGGATGATCAGAAAGAGAAAATGATAGAAATGGACGAGTCAACTTGTGGTACATTTAGAATTTCTGTATGCCTGACTCACGTAGACCATTTCGTGAATGCTATTGATGCCCAACATTTAGACATTTGAGACCGCTCCTCGCGCCATCAACATCATTTGCATCATATCTTCGATTGATTTTGACCCGTGACCTTGTCACAGGGTACATTGAAAATAGAAACAAATCTTACCATTCGAAGCGTTGATGCGATCAGATATAATTCGGTTTTGTGATTGGACGAAACAATTTAGAAGTGGGATATTGTGTCAATGCGAGAATTTGCCGGGTGAAGGCTGGGATTGAGATTGTAGGATCAAAGATCGGAAATTCTTTGTGAGAAAAACAAAAGTTATGGACGCAATTTTGTAATGGAACTACCGAGCGAGCCTAGGTAACCACAAGAAGTATAGAGATGTAGTTTCTGGAAGGCATTTTGAGGACTTTGATGCGGTCCTTGCCTCACCACCTTACATGCCCCTCATGACTCGACCCACGTGTAAAATCGAAATGATCGAAAATGGCCAACGGAAGCGCAAACGGGAGTACAAACGCAGGGAAAGGAAATGAATATCAAACAAAACATATATGCAAAGTTCCTAAGAAGAATTTGCCTGGCTCGCCCCTGGCTGTCAGATTATATTAGACGCTTTGAAGCAATCTTTTCAACCGCATTTCGTATATACCGCTACCTTTCATCTTGACACTTTCCCCTCCATTGTGCTGAGAAGGGAGCTCGATATGATGAATCTCGGATGCGCGAAAGCGACGCCTCGCTTTCGTGTATCTGGGTAGTCAAGCTTACTTGTACCCCGTGTGGTAAAGTCAACAACCAGGTGTACGATATGCAAGGAATAACCGTACATGAATGACATGAATGACATTGTGCAGGAGTCGGAGAAGCCTTAACTGCGAGAGTAGCTAAAATTATCACGGGATATCGTTTTAACACGTCAATACATTGAGGCTAGTAGTGAAGATTCCCACATTTATCGACTTAGTTGCATGAGCGTGATGACCAAGGGGGTTTGGTGAAAGGTACGGACCGGAGGTACTAGATGGCAGGTAGACGGATCGATACCGGTTTGCTGGGGATGTCGATATGGATGTTGATGACATGACATGACCATAGGAAAGGAAAAATGAAACTATTCCCATGATCAAAATAGAACGACGTCGATGTTGAAGAAGAAAATAAAGAAGAAAGAATAGAATGCGTAGAAGATGTAAAATGAAATCAAGACTCACCTCACCGTTCATGTGACTGCCAGTTGTTTAAAAATGTGGCTGGTAATATTCAAACAAATCAATCTTAATCCATCCATGATAATGGCTCAAAGCATCCAGCATCCATGCTCTGGGGATGTTTTGGTTGCTGGATCAGCAAAACTTTACTAAACCATACTAATAATCTCTGTGAACAGGGTTATAATTGCCATTCTACCTAGGTATACCTCTCACGCCAAACAATAATTGAGACTTTGACCAATGAAATGCCTTAGATTCTGCTCTTCTCGTGTCTGACTTCTCTCGTTCTCTCTCGGTAGTCTCAGGCCTCACGTCTCTTTCCCTCACTCCTGATTCTTTCTCGAACCTCTCTCCCTTTCAGGAGGTTTCCTGTCGTGCAGTCCAGCCCGACCAGCAGTTGCACTACACATACAACATACATCGCACATCCTGGGACAAGAACAACAACAACAACAACAACAACAACAACATCATCATCGACAATACGAGAAAAGTCTCTTTTTCTTAATTCTCTATTTTGTTATTTTATTTCATTTTCAAGTCTAAATCTGCCGACGCAATATACCTTCTTTTTTCTTTCTTTTTCCCGGGAGTCCAGAATTCAATCTAAACATTAGCGACACACGAACGACAAACGAACGTCGACGACATTAACAACAACAACCTCCAGCGCAACTTCTTCCCCTTCCATAAACTTTCACTTACATTTTGGTATCGAACCTAAGGAATCCTACTTGACTTTACATTCCACCCGCCAAAAATAACCTACTGTGCGATATCTACCTATGGATTGACCGTACGTACTCGACATCAACATTCAACAATTCATAGGACTATCGATTATCAACTCCCGACCACCACTTGATACAGGAAATATCCAACGAGAATACATAGATCGAGAGCCAAAGGATTTCCATTCTCAACTCAACAACTTCAGCAGTGCTACAAATACACATTTTCCAAATACTACCACTACATTAATTATTGTTTCATATTATTTGACGGGAAGGATAAAGGTGATTCACGACTTCTAACGACCATTATTGTACACGAATTCCAATCTCTTAGTCTTCTTTACAACCTGCAGCCTTCATCATTTGCTTTGCGATCAACATCCAAATAATCCAACTTTGATTTATCGACCTTTTGACGGCTAAACAAGTTTTACATCATTGTGAGGGGTCTGCAAGAGGTCATTCTTTATTTGTTTATGGTCCACAACAAAAATCGCAACAGCTGCATATGCTATTGGTCACTAGTTTTGCAAGATCGCAAGTCTAAGGAACGGATGTTACCGCCAAGTAACAGAACGGCTTTAAGATAGTGAGAAGATACGACAACGATACGAATTCAAGACCGGACAGAATCAACAAGAATAATAATCACCACAGATGTCGGAATTACCATCCTCCCCGCCTTCGGATCCGGTAGATGCGATCGCGTACTACAAATTGCAGTACGAGCAATTGGAGAATGAATTGACGGAATTTCAGGCGAGTTCGCAGGAGTTGGAAGCAGAGTTAGAGAAGGATGTTGAAGCTGCGGAAAGAAGGGAAAGGTTATTGCAGGAAAAGGTAGAGAGTCTGGGATTTGAAGTGGAAGAATGGAAGGTATGTCATCGTGAAGAGGTGAATGTGGTAAATCGGCAGCGTAGGTGGCTAACCAGAATTTATCTGTAGAAAAAGTATAAGCAATCCAAGAATGAAGCAAATGCTGCGCAGACTACTTTACAAAAGGAGATCACTTCTCTGCGCGATGCGAATCGAACCATGCAACTCCAACTTCGAGACATTGAAGTTCAACATGACGATATCGAGCGGCAAGCGCGAAATACCTTCTCATCCTTGGAAGACATGGAATCAAAATTCAATATGTCTATTGAACGAGGGGTGATGATGGAAGAAGAAATCAAGATTGGCGAAAAGGAAAGAGAACAGCTCCGGATCGAAACACAACGTCTGAGAGATGAGTTGTCGGACCTGAAAGTTGAGGCAGATATCATGCAAGACAAGTTACGAAAACGACAATTTCCATCAATCACAACAGATTATACTGCGCCAATGACTCCCTCATTTGAGCCCTTTGGAACATCTCCTAGATCCACAGCTTCTTCTCCGATCATCAACACTCCACCAGATACCAAGTCTATCTCAACGACAGATACCGTTTCCGAAACCCCTACCCCTCCATCTCCGCCCATGTCAGAAGCATCGGCGACTGCAAGACACGGACTAAATACATCAATGAACCCACCCCAAACCAATCTAAAACTCCCAGCTACGAATGCAAGCGCAACGCCTAAACAAGGCCTATCTCGTTACGTGTCTGGCACAGTTCGTAGTTCACGAGGCACAACACCGAACGGCAATTCGAAAGCAAGAAGTGCGACACCAGCAGTGATTCGCCAGACAAAACAAAAAGCACCACCTACACGCGGTTTACCGAACTCAACATCCCTAACTCATATCAGAAGTCTGACGGCGCAAATGCAGAGATTAGAACAAAGAGTACAGTCTGCAAGATCAAAATTACCCGCGCCGGTCACTACTCCACCTCATGCTATACCGAGAACAATATCGGCTATGGGTCAAAATTACTTGCCACCAAGTGGTACGATAAGGGGTAGGAAGAGAACTACAGGTAGTACTGCGAGCGCGAGCACTACATCATCTATGACTGGAGATGAACCTTCAGTAAAACACCTTCCTCGAGTCTCTGTATCTGGAATCAGCAGGCTTTCTTTTGGACCAGTTGCAAATAGAGATGGGAACGATAGCAGTCAACATAGTAGTAGACCACCCAGTCGACCAGGTAGTCGTGCCAGTGGTTCACTTTATGAACGCCCACCGAGTCGATCGACTCTCAGTCGCCCAGGCGCTAAGACGCCAGTATCATCTTACGCACAGTCGCAAGTTGTGGATTCGAGAAGGGCGAAGAGTAGTATGGGTGGAAATTATGGGGATAGGCATGGAGATGGAAGACCTCATACGTACTCACAGAGCGTATCATATATTGGCTACGGCGTGGACGAGAACCGGGAATCTACCTATACGACACCCGTTCGTAGAGGAACTGTGCATGAGAGTTCGGGTGGCACACCACTATCTTCGCTCCCTCGAAGGAAAAGCGGTGGACAATCGTTATCGATGTCGGGGCTACCTATGCCTAGGAGAACAAGCACAAGTCAAGGATTTCGAGAGGAGGATGAAAGGATGATTATAAATCCTAGACAACCAGCGGGACTCAATAGAACGCCCACGGCACCATCGGGAAGACAAAGGAAGTTGAGTGGTGTGGGAGAATGTTATTAAGCTCACTAGATAAGAAGGATGAATGTGTTTCATCCTCTTCACTTCATCTGTATACCGTTATGGAGAATCCGGGAATTTGGGATCATATTTGGGAGGACGTGGGAGAAGGGTGTAAACTTGGGTTGCGTGCATTGGCTAAGGCGTTTGTTTGTTTTTCTCAACATCGTGCGTGCATAGCTAGGCGGACATGGTATGGGAAACAGTTTGGGATTGATACTGCTGCTATACCTCTTTTTTTATTGATTTGCTCTGCTCCTCTTGGCTCGTTCCTTTTTGATTTCCGGGAGGAGAGAGTTTTTCGTTTCATTTGTACATAGGGGATGGATGGTTGATGATGGGTTTGATGTTTCATTTGTTGGTGAGATGATGTGCAGGAGAGATTGGAATGAATTGGGAAGGTGATATGGACGGAGAAAGAGCATGGATGGATGGACGGATGAATGGATAGATGAGATGGAATGGAATTTGATGGGATGGATGGCTGGAAGTGAGCGTTACAGACACAGACAGACTATAAGAATGAAGGAAATGATTATGATTCAATTGGGTGTTCTTTGATATGTGATGTGATGAATGAGATCTTGATAGTAAAAGAGTACTGGTAACTATAAAATAAGACGAATGCGCTAGTTACGGTAGCGGTAGCGGATGATGAGGAATACCCTTGAACTACCTAGATAGGTAGATAACAATCAGTCCCTTTTTCGGGAGAGAAAATTGATCAGGTAGGCATCTTCGGGGCGAAGAAAAACGGGAGCATCTACTTACTCAGGTATGTATGTACCCCGAAAAAATTTCGGCCTCCGTGGTCCGTCCGGTCTTGCTAAGCTAGGGTAGGGGTAGATACCTAGGCTTTGGCGAGATCTTTAGAGAGAGAGAGTATGTATGCAGTTTGTTGGCTAGCTGGTTATTAGTAGGGCAATATGGAGGCAGGGAGGTATTGGTATTGGTATTGATATTGGGAAATGAAATGAAATGGAATGAAATGGAATACCTAGGTAGTAATATGAAAATTTTTGAATTTATTCATAGAGGGAGTTTTTATGTTGATATATTTCTATTCTTATAGTTATAGTTATAGTTATAGTTGGCAGTGCCGAGTGTATGGGTGTAGTGGTTTTTCATTGGGTGGTGTTTGTTGTTGATTGTGCTTATGGGGATGAGGGGATAGGATGTAATTATTAGGTAGGTAGGTAGGTAGGTAGGTAGGTAGGTACGTGGTGGTTTTTTGAGGGTTTTTTAAAGGGTGAGGGTTGAGAGTGGTTTGGAGGAAGATGGAGAGGAGAGAGGGAGAGAGGGAAGATATGTGTGAGTATATTTGTGCAGAAGGGATGGATGTATGGAGTTTATGGAGGGAGATAGGTATGGATGGATGGATGGATGGATGGATGGATGGAAGTGTAGGGGAGGGTTTCTACGTGGGAGATTTTGGAGATTGGAGTCTGATGGATTTGGATTTGGATTTCTTGAGGTGGTTTATTGGGTGTTGGGTGATTGTGTAGGAGGGGATAGAGGTAGAGAGGTACAGAGGCAGAGGTAGATAGTATGCTGGTAGTGATAGAAAAGAGAGTACTCTTTTTTGAAGCTTCTTCTTCTTCTTCTACTTTGGATGAGTGAGTCAAGTGGAATGGACTTTATAATGATTCAATAAATGATGCGATGAATGATGTGATAGATGGATACATGTGTGAATAGATTATCCACCGTGATAGAAAGTCTCCAGTTCGGGATTGGTACTGCTGTGTCTGGGGTTGAGTTGGGAGGATGTGATTTTACGGATCTTTTTCTTTAATTTTGGAGGAAGGGGAAGGGGAAGGGGAAGAGGGGTGATGATGATGATGATGATTATGGTGTTTATGGAATTTTGATTTGTGGTTTTTGTTTAATATTTAATATTTATTGTTCAGTGTTGAAAAGAATATTACCTAGCATCCATCTCTTATAATTTATCTGGCCGTCTAGCGAGGAAATGTATACACAAGAGACGAGAGAAAGGAGAGAGAAGCTCGGAGAAGGTGAGGGGGGAATGTAGCTGGCTAGCTCATCGGATGTCCGTGGGGAATCGGGGGAGAAATAAGGAATGTCTGGTTTTTACTAGGTACGGTACCTAGTTCAGCCTCACGTAGCTAGAGAGCAGAGAAGAGAGCAGAGAAGAGAGAAGCGGACTTGTAGATATGCCGCGAAGTGGAAAAATTATGTAGCGATTATTGGAATGGAAAGATGGAATTTGAATTTGAATTTGATGGCTGCGTATCTATCAGGTAGCTAGCTTACATGCTATATGGTGAGAGGGTTTCTGTGTTAAGTTTTAAAGGGTGCGAATGTGCACGCACATTTGGGTGATGGCTACTTTGCTGATGTTCTGAAATCATTCTCGTGGTGGCGAATGCAGAAATTCGGATTTTGGATTGATATTGAGTCAAATTAGATTGGATTGGAGGAAGAAGTGAATGGTGAGTGATGATGATGATAAATTGGGTTGGAGCTACCTACCTCCGCACCCAACTCGTATAGCTTGCTGGAGCGAGACACAGCTCTCGGGGAATGTTTATATCCAGCTTGCTTGGAAGCCCAGATTAGTTGTGATGGCTTTCAGATCGGGAGAGCAAGGGTCCTGATGATATAATGTTTTGTTGGCCGCAAACTATCTCCCAAAGGGAATTATCGAGCGCAGCGAGCTACGGGGGTTTGGGGGCTTGCCCCCATCCATCAATACCGAGTCAATGATCATATAGGAAATGGATCATCGACGGGTTCCATTTTTGGGGGAAGCTGAGAATTAGTCGTGTGTGTGTATGTGTTGCGGGAAAGGATACGATGTAGAGAGATTATACGACGTAAAAGTCCGGTGCTAGGAAGGCTGGATAGGTTCTCTTGGTATACCTGTATGTATGTATGTACTTTGTAGGTATGTAGTTTTGAAACTGCATACCTAGACTAGATATATGCATTCTAGTAGGAAGAGGAACGAGTAAGAGACGACATCACCATTACATTACATTGCATGATGTACGGAATGAAGGATATTGTCTTTCATGACTCTCTCTCTCTCTCTCTCTCTCTCTCTCTCCCTCTCGATATCTTTTGCATGTAGGTAATTAAGAGTGAGTGAGATTATCTCGGATTGGTACAGCAAACCAAAGGTTCTACGGGATTCTTAACCCTTGTTGTTTGGGTATGTATGTCTGCTATGTAGGTAGTGTTGGAATTGATCGACCGGGTAATATTCATTCCAGAAGCATGGCCACGACCCCTAGCCTGGGAAAAAGGTACATTAGAGGGAAGAAAGGTTAATGAAGTTGTCACTCTTGATGATTGTCGTTGATTGTTTGGTGAATTTGCAAAAGGAGAATTAAATTGATGGAATATGAATTTTGGATTTTGGATTTTCGATTGATGGTGAGTGTTGATGTGTTGGTTATTTATATTTATGAGATATTTACTCATGTTTTACCATCTTGTGGTGGTATCATATATTATTGTCGTCTGTTGATTTAAAAGAGTATAAGTTATTCAATAACTATTTAATATTTACATTTACACTTACCTGGTACCATACCTACCTAGTAATATAATTCTCAAACTTTCCGCCAGATCTTTTGAGTCTTGACGGACTTCTCAAAGGCTTGTTAAGTCTAAAGTGGTATACACCTTACCCTACCTTACCCTACCTTACCCTCCCTGGTCTTCTACCCTACCCACCTAGTATGTAAGTGGCTGAGTGGGTCTCTTCAAAACGCCAGAACTCACCAAATTCGTGGTCGTTGGGAGACGCGCTTTACTCGCTTGGGTTTAGTGGGGTAAAGTGAGGGATGGTTGAGAGTTTGGAGAAATTGGAGAAATTCAATTTTTGATAGTGAAGCGTGAAGTGTGAAGTATGAAGTATGAAGTATGAAGTATGAAGTGTAAAGTGTAAAGTGTAAAGGGAGTGAAGGAGTGAAGGAGTGAAGGAGTGAAGGAGTGAAGGAGTAAGGAATGATTTGATATTGCGAGTGAAGACTACAAACTCAAGACTCCAAAGTGATGAAACGAATAACAATCCAATATCAATGGTGATACGCATACTCGCATCTCGCATCTCGCATGAGAATTAAAAAAGAATAAGACTCGGTCGGTCAAGAAAAATCCATCGAGCATTGAATTTCATACCATGTAAGACTTTATTACATAGAGGAAGATAAAAAAGGAACCTGATCGCCATAAAATTGGAAGCTTTTTTTGCTTCTATTTTGTAGATCAACAATTTTGAAACTTGTTGATTGTTGATTGTTGTGTTGTGTTGTCTACTATTTTCCCATCCCCTCATTCGACAAGACTTGAAGTCTTTCAACTAGCCATAAGTACACATACCATACCATACCATACCATAACCATATCTACTTCCCTGTGTTGTACTTTTTGATAGATACATTGATACACTCTTCACTCTTCTCTCTCCTTTCTCGACTCGTCTTCTTTCCTCATATATCCATCAATCATATACCCAACCACTCATCCACCTACCTACCTCCCGTCTTACTTACTTACTCATTATTATATCATCACCTCAACTCTTCTTAAATACTAATCCGCTGTATATCCTCTTTCCCCCAGTATACACAGACTACTTTGTAATATTCGGACATCATTCGCCGAGAGAAGGGACTGTCTCCAATCTTTTTTCTGTCAAGCATTCATTAGATTGAGATACCCCAGGTAAGATTATAAAACCTTCCTTAATACTTCTCCCCTTCCCTTTCCCCTCAACCCTCAACCCTTCCTCCGAAAACTCAAAAACTTCTACTATTTTTGTATTTTGTTTACACTGCAAGTTTAATCTTTCCATTTTCTTACAATATACAAAGGGCTTCAGATTCATTTCGGAGTTCTTTCAATTCCTCATATCTAGAAATCTTGTGAGGGGATTTCGGAGTCCGTTTCTCGAATAATTATCTGACGCTCAACCATTTTCCCGGCGGGCTTAAGAGTATAGCTTCCCCTCCTTCCACCATTTCCAGGCCTCAATTCTTTCTTTGGCACAAGTTCTCTTCTCTGCTCTTCATTGAGCCCTGAATACCTCTCAAAGATATACGAATCTCAAATCACATTCACAATGGCGGAACCACATACAAACGGCACGGTACCAATAGTGTCCTCTTACGCCGCGAGACATAACCTCGCAGATCACTTTATTGGAGGAAATAAATTAGAAAATGCTCCTGCGGGTAAGGTTAAGGATTTCGTGGCAGCAAGTGATGGACATACGGTTATTACAAATGTGAGTAAAAAGTTTCTTGAGTTTGAATGTGGTGACGCTCCGCTGGCCCTCCGGGGGCCATTGCCACGGGGGCGGACTGTGCGAGAGGAATTATGTGTTTCGTCTGAGCTCTTGAATACAGTGGTAGAAGGAGAGTACGGACCGGTTGGGTGGGTGGTAGATAAGAGAGAGAGAGAGAGAGTAGTGGAGCATGGCAGAAGACTTCTCTCCTTACATATTTTGTTTTGGATACCTCGCCTTTCAAATATATAGAGAAAGCTTCGAGCGTAGCGAGCTATGGGGGTTT